GCCCTGGTGCCCTGGAGAGTGCCACACTTGCAATGTTTAACTCGTCGCTGTGGGATGAGAATAAGACCAGGCGCGTGATGCTAGTCGCATCTCATAAAAGAGAGGTAGATGGACCAGCGCCCATCCCAATGGATCCCTACCTGTTTTATCTCATGGGGGTGTTCATAAAGAAGTTAAGACCGTTGGTGACAACAGATTGCAGTCCATCGTCACCAATCTTCGTCAAGTCTGACGGGGCTCCCTATGCTAGGGGCACAATAGGCAGGAGGATCTCTGCGTTTATTGTTAAGTCAGGGATAAGGGCCGATAAGCCCATCATGGCCACCGACTTTCGTAAATGGATCGTCACCACCATGAAGTCCAAGAAGAGGGCAGGGGAAAAAATAGACGAAGATCTGCTGAGGAGGCTTATGTGCCACTCAGAAAAAACCCCAACTACCTGGTATTTGCGAGAAGATCTCACTGAGCAGGCGGCACAAGCCTCCCAGCAGATCGCAGCCAACACCGCCGTCACCCCTACTCGCGAGATCCGGCCTAAAATCGCCACAACCCCCTACGCTACCAGGAGGAGACTACATTCTGTAGCATCAGTCGCTTCTCCCTGCAGGTCGTTGACCTCAGAAGAAAAGGGCGCAGTTGAAAGGTGTTTCAGCGAGGAGATTAAAAAAGGTTTTCCTCCTGCCAAAGAAAAAGTCATCGCCGCTATGAAGGCCAACGACGTTCTAGGGGACGTTGCTGACTCGGAAGATAAGGTGAAGAAGGTGGTGGACAGGGTCCGATATATTATCAAGGCGCAGCCCACAGTAGAACTCGCCACCCTCGAAGAAGAGCCCGCCTCGGTCCGCACTGAAAAGTATGTGCAGTCCCACCCTCCTTTGACTTCCAGTGCAGTACCTTCCGGTGATTCCGGCCGAGTGGAGTGGTCGTTGGAGGACTCCCAAGCTCTTGAGGCACCGCTGTCAGCTTATGAAAAGCAACCCACTAACCTCGAGCTTCGTGCGATCATGAGCTCCTCAGATACTCTTCGGAGGATCTTGGAGGAGAACTCCTTCCAACGCATCCGAAATAAGGTAAAAAACATCTACAGGAAGCGTCGCTGAAATGCCGGCCCCTTTGCGATCTTCAAAAACAAAAAAACAAAAAAACAAAAACAAAAACAAAAAAAACAAAAAAGTCCTTGTGGTCACTGCTTCATCTTGTTGTCCGAGTCTGAGGCATTCGTCAGGGATAGAACGCGAGCTGGGGTAGCCAATCCCCGGGGAGTGCCCCATGGATGTGCTCAGTCTCATGACACGAGTGATTCAAACCACATTGGCACGTTGCGTTTTCATCTTGCGTAATGTATATGTTGTCTTGTTGAACGTTGCTTGGACTCGAGGTTGGTTCCTGAATTCTGTACTTGTGCAGCAGGTGAATCCTCCTATGACAGGTCCTGGCTATTTTGTGTTTGTGGGATAGGTAACACAGACTATTACCACCTGCCCTACTAACATTTTTTGTCTGCCGTAATGTATATGTTGTCTTGTTGAACGTTGCTTGGACTCGAGGTTGGTTCCTGAATTCTGTACTTGTGCAGCAGGTGAATCCTCCTATGACAAGTCCTGGCTATTTTGTGTTTGTAGGATAGGTAACACAGACTATTACCACCTGCCCTACTAACATTTTTTGTCTGGCGTAATGTATATGTTGTTCTGTGGCCTGAAGTCGCGGTGGTTACTGTTTTGTACACTTCATGGTGTTCCAGTTTAATCACCCGTGAAGGGCATGTATGTGTAGTGTTTGTTAACTCCGCCATTGCCGGTCCCAAGCCCGGATGAGAAAGGAGGAGGGTTGGGCGTGGGGCTAGCAACCCCGTCCGTAAACAGACACTTGTGCTGCGCAGGTGTGGCTGGACTGAGAGGAAGATACCAAAACCTAGTCCTAAGCAATTGTAGCTCTGCTTTTCTTGTATGAAATAAACTGTCAAAACAGCCGATACTTTGTTCCTTACTTATTTGGTGTCCGCCATCTTGGATTTTTAGGCCAAGGGGTAAGATGGCCATTTTGGTCAAAATTTTAAATTTCTCTGAAACTCCCGCTATAGCTTCATTGATCCCTAAAACGAGTCTCTAGCACCTTAAAAGTGGTTTTCTAGCACTAACTACAGTTATTCTGACTTCTAACCCTTAGCCTGTCTTACACGTTTCACCTGTCAATCTTTCAACCATCATATCTCAGTTGATTCGAGATCTAGTTATTTCAAACTTCATACCAAACTAGTTCCATGCCATGTCTAAAGTGTAGAGAGATTTCAAGTCAACAGCGCGAGAGATTCGGTAGTTATAGCACTTCCCGCGAGGTCACCCCATTTAGTGTCCGCCATCTTGGATTTTTAGGCCAAGGGGTAAGATGGCCATTTTGGTCAAATTTTTACATTTCTCTGAAACTCCCGCTATAGGTTCATTGATCTCCTAAATGAGTCTCTAGCACCTTTAAAGTGGTTTTCTAGCCCTAAGTACAGCTATTCTGACTTACACCCCTTAGCCTGTCTTACACGTATCACTTGTCATTCTTTCAGCCGCCATATCTCAGTTGATTGAAAAGCTAATTAATTCAAACTTCATACCAAATTAGTTCCATGCCATGTTTAAAGTTTGGAGAAATTTCAAGTCAACAGCGCGAGAGATTCGGTAGTTATAGCACTTCCCGCGAGGTCACCCCATTTAGTGTCCGCCATCTTGGATTTGTTGGGCCAAGGGGTCCGCCATCTTCGATTGTTGGGCCATTTTTCTCCAACTTTGACAAAGGCTGGACACGTTCCTTTTCATTAAAAAAGCTTGATACTTACAGACATGAAAGAATGATCTTTTGCCTTTCCTATCATATTCTTAAATTATGACAGTGATGTTGATTGACATCTGTCAAGTATGATTGACTTCTGTCAATATAGGCGAAGGGTCAATTGTAAAATTTTGCTTAGAATTTCACAGGGTTGTAAACGTCATTCTTTGGTCTATATAATGCTTGTATAATCTGGTCAAAACAATGTATTTCAATTTTTTTACAAATTTTCAAAGGTCTATGAGTTAGGTGAAAATATCATAATTGTGAGATGGAAGGGCAATCTTGAAAAAGCTGTAACTCCATTGTCTCTTAAAAGAATTAATTGTGGTTTAA